GCAAGTGAGGCAAAGTCAAAGTGTGAAAAAGCAGTTGAAGAGAAGGAGCAAGCCGTAGAAGATTTGAAGGAGCTTCAAGATGAAATGACCGACAAATCTTTCTACACCAAAGGACTCAGCCGCCAACTAGAGGAAAAAGCCAACAGATTGGAAGACGAAATTAACAACCTCCGGAAGGAGCACACTGCGCTGGAGGAAAATTTCCAGAGCAAGATTCGCGAGGCAGCCAAGCTTGAGGAGGAGGTTGAAGCACTGAAAGAAGAGCTATCCGCAGAGAAGGCAAGATTGCAGGACGATCTTGATTTAGCCCAACATGAGCGAGATATTGCTAGAAGGGAACGGCACGACATTTTGGAACGTCTACACCAAGTTGAGGACGATATCCGGAATGGAGAGGATGCAAAAGTTGTCCTGAAAACTCGTCACGATGCGCTTGCCAGTGAGTCTTCTAGTCTTCAGCGTGATTTGGCCCAGGCAAAGACTCGGATATCGAATCTCGAAGAACAAATGGAAGCGGAAAGGGACCAATACATGAATGACACAGATGAACTCCGAATGCAGCACAGAGCTCAGCTGGATCAGCTTCGCGATCAGATAGAGTCTTTAAAACATGACATTGAAGATCAAGAAGGTCAACATGCGGCAGATCGAGATAGGTGGGAGAGTCAGAAACGAAATTTGGAGCTTCAAAAGTCAAAGGTTGAACAACAAGCTACTGGATATAAGCGGACGTTAGACAAACTACAGAACGTCGAGACAACACTATCCGGACGAGAAGAAAATCTCCAAAATATACTCGAAAACGAGAAGCAACGCCATCTGCAGGATGAGGAACTACTGAATCGCCAAATCAAAGAGCTTAATGATGATATTGCGTCTAAACGCCAAGCTGCAGAAACCCAAAGGCAGGAGCTGATGAGCGTCAAAGAGGAATTAAGGGTGGCTAGACGCGAAGAAAGCAACCTAAGAGAGAAATTGCAAACGCTTGAGGATGATATTGTGGTATTACAAGCTACGCTGGAAGATGAGCGGGCCTTTGCCGGGAATCTTCAGAAATCGGGTACTTCGGATTTGGAGAAACAGTTGCAGGCAGCTAATAAAGAGAGACAAGTTACTCGAGACAAGCTAGCTAACGCGAACATCGAAATTCATAATCTACGCATGTCGTCCGCCGAATTGGAAGCCGAACGTGATGAATTGCAAAGTCAGATTAATCAGATTCAAGGCCAGGTCGATGATACTTACCGTCTCGACCAGGAAAAGATCGACCTTCGAAAATCTAAGCTGAGACTCGAAAACGACCTAAACCGCCTGAGAGACGAAAAGAAAGCGTTACTGGAAACCAAAGATAAGTTACAAGTCGGTCTTGATAACGAAATCGAACGGGCGGCGGCGGAGGAGAATCGACTCTCTGCGGAAATTGACCAACTCCAAGACAGGCTATTCATTTTATCGGAAAAACGCGATCACGAACTCATTGCCGCCAAAAACAAAGCTGAGCGACTCGAACTACGTACCCAAGAACTCGAAGCCCTCTTGGACAATCAGGCTTCTATTCGCGCGGAAGCATCTACGTCACCCGACTTCTCAATCCTGCGGCGAAGCCTGGAAGATGCACGACGCCAAGAGAGAGACGCACTTGAACGTGAATCAACACACAAGGCCTCCATCCGGGACCTGAAAACGCGCATCGTAGAATTGGAGCGGGAGAATCATGAGCTCAAAGCTAAGGCGCTGAGCACCCGCTCTCCAAAAGTATTCCCATCGACGCCACTTAAAGTCCAAGAGGAGCTTCGGAGCCTTCGCAGCCAACTACTCGACATGCACAAGGCCATGAAAGATCTAAAAACCCAAAACCACGAATTGCAACATGCCTCAGTAAACGAAGAAGAGCGTAGAGATCTCCACGACCTGCTCAAATCATCGACTCTCGAGGCCGAATCTTTAGCGGTACGCCTTTCCGAGCGTGACACCCGTGTTCAAGAATTGAGAACGCATCTCCGTAGAGTCCGTGACGAGCGCGCCCTGTCCATTAAGAAAGCAGACACAGCTCGTCACGAGCTGGAGTCATTACAGGCCAGATACGAGGCTCTACTAGAGGAGTTGACACAACATTCGGAACGAAAAGGACGACACGCCAAGGAAATCAAAGGTTTAGGGAAAGAGATTATGTGGTTAAGGGCCCGATTGGTCCGGGAGGAGAAATTCCGTCAGGATCTTGCGTGGAGTAAGGGGCTCATGGAGCTGGGTGAACGGGTTCGGATTGCATGGTACGTCGTCCCTGTCCGGCTGACATGTTCATTGTGTTTGCTCCTTTCCTTTTCAAGTATAGGCATGGCTAATATGATATGTTTTCCTTCCTCCTTTGTACGTACAGTAACGAAACCGACCTCAAAATGATCGCTGAAATGGGGGTGAAGCCCAACAGCCCGCGAAAGAAATTTGACGCCCGTCTAAAACTTAAAGCTGTAGCATGCATGGCCTTGGCTGTCTGCCGGATGCAATTGATGAGTGCTGAATGGAAGAAATCAAAGAAACTTGGTGAAGGCCTTCGGAAAGCGAAGGGGGAGGTATTGAAGAAAAGGGAAAGTATGAGAAGGAAAGCTCTGACTGACTGAGAGTATTTGATATACCCCGTGTTACGCTTCCCATTTTGTTGCTTCTACGCCTAGTTCCATGTCTCTGTTCGATTTGCAATTTTCTGGATTTTTGGGCGATTGGGTTCGATTTGTATTAGTCGTTCGAAATTCTCTTTTCTTTGCCATGTACGGAATACTTGAGGGTTCCTTCTGCCCGGTGTTTATGGGGTTTTGGCTTCTCGCTCTGCGGAGCATTATTACTCTTCCTCTGTTCTTTTCTTGTTTTTCATCCTTATTCCATATGATACTCTTCCACCACCGTTGTTTCATTGGCATTGCCTGCTTGGTAAACAGGCCTTATATATCCATATATACGAAGCAAATTGGCAGTTCTTGATGATTAATTTCCCTTTGTTCACGGTTTTCTTTTGTCTCTTGCATAATACGCATGGCATATACATTTTCTACGGCGCTAGTTATCAATACCCTTTATGAGTAACGCCCCGCCGAAGTGAGAAAAAAAGGATAGGTGATGGAGAGGGGAATGGAGTTAAAAGCCAACGGTTCGCCTCTTTCAACCGCCGAGACAAAAATCGAGAAGTATACTTAGACAAAAATAAATAGGACAAATTGTAAAAAAAAGAAAAGACGGGAAGAGAAGAAAAGCAGGCGAATGTCATAGTCTCCCAGGCATGAGATGGACTGAAAAATACTACCAAACCAGAGGCGCTCATCATAAATATGCCATCCAAGGAAAGAAATACCAAAATGGTCAAGTGACAGAACTGGATTGTAAAGATAAAAGGTGGGCTAAACAATCCATCAGAATTCGCCCATCAGAATTGGACAAAGACGCCTCGACACATTAAAAGAAGCAACACCTATACTCTATATGAAGGTTTAAAAAAAAACATGTAATATATATCACGACCCCTCACTACCGAACTCCAAGGTCCATTCATTATTTTTCTTTAAATCTTCTTCGCTCACGGTGGGGCGCGAAGACTTCAACGCCTTGATGAAATCTCTAAGTAGAAGGGGTGGCTCGAGGAGTTTATCCGAATCGATGTCCACCCATGTCATTTCCATGGCCCCATTGTCGCCTGGAGAACATGGTGTGAGCTTTTCCTGCTCGTCCACAATTACCTGAATGAGCTCTGTTAGGATCTTGTAATACACCTCTATTTCTGCCTAAGAAGGCAGGGGGATGGTAAGGAGGAAGATGATATACCTTTTTATAATGCGTCGCAGTTTGAATTTTGCGGATAGGTTGCATGAGTGCATCTTGAACAACTACGCTGATATCACTTCCAGAGTATCCTTCGCTCATTTCAGCAAGTTGCCGGTAATCCGCATTGGTCAGCTGGCACGGTGTGCTTCCAACATTTAGCATGAACATCTTCACCCTTGCCCGAACATCTGGAAGACCGATGTGAACTCTTCGTTGGAACCGTCGCCTGATAGCCATATCTAATTGCCAGGGAATGTTTGTGGCTCCGAGTACTAAGATTCCTTCAGAATCCTTGCCAACGCCTTGCATTTGAACGAGCAATTCTGTCTTTATACGACGAGAGGCTTCAGACTCTCCTTCACCACGAGGACCGCAAAGAGCATCCACCTCATCGATAAATATAATCGCCGGCCTGCTCTCACGAGCCATATTAAAAAGTTGCTTGACGAGCCTGAAAGTTCAAGTTAGAGACAATTCCGGGCAAGGACAATAAACCGCATGATAAATAGTTCTAGTTCAACTTTTCTCTTACCTTTCACTTTCACCCATCCATTTCGAGACCAAATCACTACTGCTCACACTGAAAAACGTGCTATTCGCTTCCGTAGCTACTGCTTTGGCGAGGTACGATTTTCCAGTTCCCGGTGGCCCATAAAGTAATATAGCTTTCCACGGCTGTCTGTGGCCTGTGAAGAGATGGGGGAATTTCATGGGCATAATAACCGCCTCTTTGAGGGCTTCTTTCGCCTGATCGAGACCAGCAACATCCTCCCACTTAACATTTGGTTTGTCAGATAAGATAGATCCAGCCAGGGCAGCTCGCAGCTTTTTCGCTTCGGCATCTTCGTCGTCGTCGTCTTTTCTAATTCAGCCATCAAGTGTCAGCTACATATATTCGTGAACAAGGGCCTCCCAAGGCAGGCCAGAGGCACCAAACAGATCAAGCCTAAGGGTCGGTGATAAACCTACGCTCCTTTCCCACTACCATGTGCAACTCTCCCATTCGCCCCTACAGCACTGGGTTTTTTCCGATTATCGTTCCCTGCCAGGTGGTTCTTCAGTTTTTCAGCCCTTTCCATATATTCTCCAGTTTTTGCTCGAATCATCTCTTTCGATTTTGGGTTCTTTTCCCATTTTAAAGCCAGCATGAACAGCTCGAGAGCGGAATAGTACGTCTGGTAAGCTTTCTCATATTCGCCAGCGTTATCATGTTCGATGGCCTTTTTCACGGTATCTATAGCCCGTCCGAGGAAATCTGTATTGCTCATGGTGGTATATTATACCTGTAATGCTAGTTGACTTGCTAGAACTAACTGATGACTTGATACCCGATTCGACGTTCCCCCTCCTGGGAGAAACCCCACGCGAGCAAAACAAAAGAGGGACTGGGAAGCGGAATGGCAGTCAGACGTGGCACAAAACTTGTATTTGAAGAAACTGGAGATACTTCGTAACTTTGGCTGCCAACCTTTATTATATGTGAGAGAACAGGGACTGTTGTTGTGAGGTGAAAGCTGTTGGATGGGATGCCAGTGGGTTGGATGTGGAGGCTCCGCGCTAGTGCCGTTGCCATCGAGATGTGGGTTAAGTTTGACAACATCCCTCTTTTGAAAGCACACCTAAACAATCCCTAGTTCGACAATCATATCAACATACAACATCTCTCCATATAGGTACCATGGCGGATCCACAAAAACAGCTCCAGATCCTCAGTGATGAGTACCAGAAACTCGAAACAGGTCCGTTACAGCATACCCCTCTCTTAAAGATACCTTCTAAGAGTCCATTCTTACGCCACCACAGAACTCCAAGAGATTGTACAAGCCCGTGAGAAATTAGAGGCACAGCAACAGGAGAACAAAAGTGTGCAGAATGTGAGGGAAAGCTGCATTTCATGAAGAATACTTTCATTGCGGTTATCATGCTGATATTTCCTCCAATTTCTTGCATACATAGGAATTCAAGTCCCTCGAAACCGACGCGAATATTTACAAACTGGTTGGTCCGATTCTTCTTAAGCAAGATAAAGGTGACGCCATGATGGCTGTAGATGGGCGTCTAGATTTTATCGAAAAGGAGATGTATGTGCACGCCTTATACTATCGCTTTTTCCTCGGCCAGAGCGAGGAGATCGGCCTCCTTCCAGGAAATTTTCGCTTTTCGCTCCCTTTGGCAGAGCATTGCTAACTTGAGAGATGGAATAAACTAGAACTCGGATCGAAAAGCAAATACATGATATCCAAGAAAAGAGTGAGAAGAATAAGATAGAGGTATTTCTTGCCATATATCAGCATCTCGTTCTACGACAACCTATCTAACCCTGTCATAGATTATCCAACTACAAACGCAGGTACAGCAGCAGCAACAGCAACAGCAACAAGTAGGCGCAGCTACCGCCTAATTGTACAGTCGTACATAGCATAATTAATGATTTGATACCTGGGTCGATTCCGTTCTGCAATGAACCATATCGTTCCTCTCTGACGACCGATTACGAAATAGTTTCCGAGCCGTGGGAGGCTCCAATCCGCTGTAAATGACCTGGAAATGTTTTAGGTTAAATCACCTATAGGTGGTTTGATTGCTATTTAGGAATTATACTTCCAAAAATCATGCAATCGGCGGATTCACGAAGCGCAAAAGGCTGTACAGGAAATAGAAATGTACTGCTGGGGAGTTTCACAATATAAAACGGTTAAAATGACGTATAAATTTAGCGCACTATTTTCCCGAATATAACATGCGCGCTGGATCTTTTTCAGAATATCCTGGCCGAAGGAAGGAAGCTTTTCCGAACTTTAATTCCTCGATGCATACATACTCCGCAACCACCAAAGGCTACCTGCCAAAGTCGATAAATCTTGAGACATTGCCTAGCTATACAAATGTCACAACTCTCCCACCCATCTCTATCCTCTAAGCACGAAATGAGTCCCCTCTTTGGCCCGTTTCACGGATGAAACAGAACTTCAGAAAAAGATAAATGAAACAAAACGCACATTCGGACAAAGCATACAGGCTGTCTATCCCTATCTCGATGCTGTACTCAATGTAAATACGAATAGTTCTAAGTCCTGACAAGAAGGCTATGTCCTGTCATTTCCTTAGGTTGTTCGATGCCCATGGCTGCGAGGATGGTCGGTGCGACATCGCCCAAAACTCCACCGGACTTCTCCAAGCTCCAACCCTCTGGCGCGTTGGCCATGATGAAAGGGACTTTGTTAGTCGTATGTGACGTCTTGGGCGTTCCTTCAGCGTTCTTCATCTCCTCGGCGTTTCTGTACCAGACTTGTTAGCACCCCTTTCGCATTGAAATTCAAACCAGAAAGATAGCAAAAATATGCATACCCATGATCAGCCGTGACGAAAAGGATATATCCGTGCTGCTTGCAAGCTTCAAACACTCTCCCAATAGCCTTATCCGTTGCCGTCACAGCCTCAACGGCAGCTTCATACACTCCAGTATGGCCCACCATATCCGGCGGGGCGAAATTGTTCATCAAAAACTCAAATTTCTTCTCACTAATACGCTCAGCAAGCTTATCTGCCACAGGAGCAGCACTCATTTTCGGGTCGAGGTCATAGGTTGCTACTTTTGGAGACGGGATTAACTCCCGCTCTTCGCCGAGGAACTGCTTCTCAACGCCGCCGTTGAAGAAGAAAGTGACATGAGCGTATTTCTCTGTCTCGGCGATGTGGCATTGTTTGAGGCCTTGCTTGCCCAGCCATTCCGCGAGAACGTTGCCCATGTGCTGAGGGGGAAAAGCGATGGGAAATTTATAGTCAGTTTTATATTGGGTCATAGTTGTGATTGAGATGTTTTTGGGGTAAGGGAAGTTTGGTTTGGGGGACCGGTCGACGTCCCCGAGGAGCTGGGTTATTTCCCGTACACGGTCCGAGCGGTAGTTGAAGAAGAAGAGCGTGTCATTGTCTTTAGATCTAGGTAAGCAGATGTGAAATCCAGCAGGGGTGGGAGAAGCGTGAATTGTACCTTGTATTCTCCTCTCCTTTCCTCCAATAATAATTGGCTTCAAGAACTCGTCATTTTCTCCTTTCTGATATCTCTCCTTGATGGTCTGGACTGGGTCTGTGGATTCTTCCCCTCCTCCACCAGTAACAAGCCCGTGCAAAGCAATCTCGATACGATCCCACCTCTTATCGCGATCCATAGCAAAATATCTGCCTACCACGGTCGCCAACTCGCCAACACCCAATTCTTTGGTCTTGTCAAGCAATTGTTGCATATACCCAGCTGCACTCTTAGGATCCGTATCTCTCCCATCCCCAAAGAAATGGATAAAGACCTTGGGAATCTTCATTTCCTTAGCCACCTGTAGTAGCCCGAATAAATGGTTGATATGAGAATGGACACCGCCATCAGAGATGAGGCCAAGGAGGTGCAATCGCCCATTGCCATCTTTCGCTTTCTGGAACGTTTTGACGATGTTCTCGGTCTTGTTCATATCTCCATTCTTCAGGGTTTGGTCGATGCGTACAACATCTTGCCAGACCACACGCCCAGCGCCAATATTCAGATGACCCACTTCACTGTTTCCCATGAGGCCTTCTGGGAGGCCCACGGCGAGGGAGGAAGCATCGAGCTCGGTATAGCCCTGTGCAGTTTTGGAATTGGAGTCCGCGAACGAGGACATGACCGGGGCGTTAGCTGCAGCGATAGCGTCTCCATCGGGACGGGAGTCAGGGCCAGCAATACCCCAGCCGTCAATAACGACTGACAAAGGTCGGCATTAGTGTTAATCATAAATCGTCTTCCGAAAGTAGAATAATATAGAGGCTGTGTAGGGCAATTGGAGGAATCGGCATACTCAGCACTGCTTTGTGATCAACCTCGGTCATTGTGGCGAATATCAAGCTAGATAACTAGGAAATGATTGTGTCCAATGGCACAATTCAAAAGCAGATATTGGTTATACTTAGCTGAGGAATTGAACCGCTAATGCGTGCTTTTGCGTTCGCGCAGAGAGGCGAGCATATGCGGTGGAAATGAATGTTGGCGGGGGAGGGGCATTTTTCTGGTCCAAACATATTTATAAATTCGGCGTAGTCAGCTTAGTTTTTCGACGTCACCGAACAAAGCACGTACCGTTTGCTCCAGCATTGCGCCAGCTCCCGACTTCATGAACAATCCACCCTCGCTGACCACCACAAGCAGCTGGCGCGGAAGCTGCGAAAGCCCTCAATGAGCTTTGCGCCCGAGCAAGAATAAAAAATACAACCAAAGAATCCGACCAGACGCCAGAACCTGATATCATTATGACCTCCTCCGTTTCCATGCCTGGCATAAAAGTCGTCTCTTCCCTCCAATCGGCCACAAACACATCCTCCCCCGCTACACCAGGCGTCCCTCAACAACTCCAAGTCCAATCTCAAACCCAGCACCAGCCCCAACAGGAAGATCAACAAGGCATACCACAACCCGCTCCCTTCCCCCCTCCACAAACGTTTGATATCCTCCCCTCGCTCCACGACCTTCTCCTCCGCCTTGCCTCAAGCTCCTCAAACCCGCACCAACACCAGACAGATCCAACCTCTGCAGGCGACAACGATGGCCCATCATCAGCTATAGGAGGACCGGGGACGGGACCCGGAGTTGCCGCAAACACAACTGCTGCGCGCCCCACATCTGTAGATGCAGCGGCGGTGGCATTTCTGGACCCGAAGTTGCTACTATCGGAAGCTAGTGCGGTGAAGATTCGCATCCAAAAAGCAAAAGCGGCGTTGGAGTCATTGCCTGATATACAGCGGGGTGTGGCGGAGCAGGAGGATGAGATTAGAGTATTAGAAGAGAGGATCGAGAGGTTGAAGGGGATCATTGTCGAGTTTGGAAAGAGGAGTACGGGGTTTGCAGGGGTTCCAGGAATGGGATAACATGATGTTCTCGGATGAGGTTGTTTTTGGTAGGGAAAGGGATCTGTGAATGTTCTATTGATTTTGGGGAATACATTGGTGTATGGCGCTCTCATTTTCACTATCAACCGGGGGGCTTTGGATGGAGTTCATGCCCTAGTTAAAGTATTAATGAAGTTTACCAATGGGTTCATTGAGTGGCTGCAATTTGGCTCGCATTAACTATCTAATACAAGCCAGCAAGAGACAAGTAATTACTGAAATTAGTTGCAATTTACATGGAAATGTATGCGATTGTGTGCAAATATCAGTCCGTGGATGTTGACTTCATTTCCAAGTAAAATATTTTACAAGCATTTCTGATGATGAGATTCAGACGTGCCAACGAAATACGACGAGCGGAATGAGGGGAAATGATGCCAAAAGTAGTGCAATAGGAAAAAATACATATATAATCGATCGCCCAGCTGCGCCATGGATCGCTTGTTGAAAATCCATTAAACCCATACTCATCATGCATATAACGCTCGTGGTCCTCATGTCAGGTTGAAAATAAATACCGCTTTTGTTTTATCCCCCATTTTTTTTTTCCATCGCCATTTTCAAAGTTTGTGTTTTGATTCCGAACCATCAATGATAATAATGCGTTCAAGTCCTGCTACAACTGGAATTCCCCAAACAATGGAACTGAAAGCTTTCTAGACGGGTAGCGGGAAAGTGCTTGCCCACGCAGCCATTTCTTTGCGCAAATCCAAAATCTCCTGCACACTTTCGCTAGCCACCTTAGCCTTGAAGTCTTTGAGCTTGTTAGCCTCCTTGGGCAGGCCGGCCTGGATGGTCTTGCAGATATTGATAGCCTTGTCAATATAGTTGGCGATGCGCTTGAAATCCTCCTCGCCCATGCCACGGCTGGTCATGGCTGGGGCGCCAATTCGAATGCCGCAGGGCGTTAACGCGGACTTGTCGCCTGGGATGGAGTTCTTGTTGCATGCAATGTTGATCTGTTCGAGAACGGCTTCAACACGGGCACCGTCAAGGGACTTTGGCCTTAGATCCAGAAGGACCATGTGGCTGTCCGTTCCGTCAGAGACCAACTTGCAGCCTAGCTTTTTAAACTCCTCCTCAAGGGCTTTGGCATTCTTCAGCACTTGCTGTTGATATTGCTTGAACTCCGGGGTATCGACTTGTTTTAGGGCAACGGCCAGAGCGGTGATGGTATGGTTATGGGGACCCCCCTGATGGCCAGGGAAGACGGAGAAGTTAATGGGGCCCTCGAGGTCGTACATGGTTTCCCTTCCGGTCTTAGGGTCAACACTCCTTACACCCTTGCGGAAGAAGATCATAGCTCCTCTAGGGCCACGGAGAGACTTGTGGGTAGTAGTAGTGACCACATCAGCATACTCGAATGGAGATGGGATGACGCCGGCAGCAATGAGGCCAGAAATGTGAGCCATGTCCACAATCAGGTAGGCACCGACGGAATCAGCGATCTCCCGCATCTTCTTATAATCGATCAAGCGACAGTAGGCAGAGGTACCCGCAACAAGACACTTTGGGCGGTAAAGCTTGGCATTTTTAGCAAGGGTCCCATAATCGATGATGCCAGTCTCGAGGTCGACTTGGTATGGCAAGGTTTCAAAATATGTTGAAATAGCGGAAATCCTATTCGGGGTGAGAATTGTTAATGCCATTTATTTTAAATAGAGCAAATCATTGATATAGCTCCAGTTATACATACTTTTTCTGGGGGGTTTGATATCCGTGACTCAGATGCCCTCCGTGAGGAAGATCCAAGCCCATCAGTCTGTCGTGTGGTCTCATCAAAGCTTGATAGACTTCCAGATTTGCAGGGCTTCCGCTCAAGCACTGAACATTGACACCCCACCTGGCTGGATCCAGATTGAAGGCCTTGAGAGCTCTCGTCTGGCAAGTGAGCTCAATTGTGTCAATGTGTTGGTTGCCACCATAATATCTGGCGCCCGGGTAACCCTCGGAATATTTATTTGACATGGGAGATCCCAAAGCATCGAACACAGCGCGGGAAGTAAAGTTCTCAGAAGCGATCAGAACGACTGACTCTCGTTGGCGTTGAATCTCTTTTTTCTGTATGGTTGGTGGGGAATTGAGTCAATAAAATGAGGGGCAACAAGGTTGTTTTTAAAGATCATGGAGATCAGCAGAAAATGAACTGAAATTGTTACATACCATAATCTCAGCAACCTCTGGATCAGACTCAGCCAGCGACTTCTCGAGTTGCTGTCCATATAGCGTTAGCTATTTGACATTCATTCCATCTAAAACATCGATAGGACGCTTACCTCTCGGTGAGACTGTGATAGAGCGTATGTCGCCATGATGTCGATAAGATCCTGGCTCTTGAATTTACCAATTCCTGGAGATATACGAATTCAGGGGTCTCTGAAGTAAAGTGGCGGGGGAATGGAAGTGGTTCGGAAGGAGGGTTTGGAGAAGGGTATGAAGACAGGATTTTGCCCGCTTTTTGGCCAAAAAAATTATTTTTTCAAGCCCCACCGACGTGATTAGGGTTTATCATGTGATCAATCTCGGCCTATATATGATGTTTCTTATCAACACAGTATTGTGACAATATGGGATAGGAATGAGGTCGCAGCAGAACAGTCTCCTCACATGTTATCATCGACTTTAAAAACATTTCCGTGAAGCTCTGGGGGATAAAAGCAGATAGGTTATTTGCATTGCTTGGTCGATTCAAAAAAATCAATTCAACAGGCTGACAATCATACAAGGAAGGAAATAAATTATCATGATGCCAGGGCCTGCGTTTTCCGCTTCCTTTCTTCCCTCCGTGCTCTCCGTTCCTGGCTGGTTTCGTCCCTGTGCTTCTTGCTCCGTTTGTCCCCATGTCGCTTATCCGACTTCCCCCGCGTAATTTTTGTATCTTTGGTTTCTTTCGATTTCGGAGACGGCTTCACTTCTCCATTTCTCGAATGTATGTCGGTACTGTCATCAACTGAATTGGAATGAATCCGTTTATGTTTTTTGCGTCGCTCCACCTGCTCATTGCTAGACCCTATTTCCATCGATGATTTCCTCCTCCTTTTGCCTTCCCGGTCCTGAGAAAGTGGCTGAGGCATTCGGAATGAGGCCCCATCTGACTCGTCCGAGCCGGATCCAAATGTTTCGGGCAGATCGTCTGTCAAACCAATTGGTTTGTATCGCATTTTGAGATTTCTGGGCTGTTGTTGTTTCGGCTTTGTTAATTCACTTATTGGAACAGATTGCTCCGAATATGTAGTCCCGTTTTCCAAGCTAATGATCCGCTCCAGATGAAAGGTTTGTGCGACATCCACGCGGCTTCGGAAGTAGACATTGCCCCGTTCATCAGGAAGTAGAAGCGACTTGTTTTTCTTTGCTTCAACCTGGTCCTCCCGGAGTTGGTAATTTACACCCTTGTGTGTCAATATAGAGCCCCCCGTAGCTACAGTATCAAGCGCAAGTTCTTGTATAGAGTTCATTGGCACTGACGCCGGCGCGGTAATGTGCCATATCCGTTTCCTTCGCAGATCCGAGAACACTTTTGAAATATCCGACGATCGCGGAGTAGTTGTTGGTATTAGTTTAAATCCTTCCGGTGGTTTGAATTCTTGCGCAGGAATTTGTATTGGTGCAGCAGATCCCCTACGAAATACAGTTAGTTTTTCAGAACGCCAAATTGTTTATATTGGTTAGGGAGAAGACGTCTCACATCGAAGGCGTGCTGGATCTTCCTTCGGATAAGCTGTCACTTTCATTTTCAACCTCTGAGTCTGAACTTGAAGAGCTTGGTTCCGGATCAAGTTCTTGCTTCGATTCCGTTGCGGGGTGATTTTTTGATTTTACCTTCTCAGTGGGTTTTCGGCTGGAGGACTTGGTCTTCTGCGGTTCTCGTTCAGGGTAGGATGGGGAATCGTCACCACTACTATCACTGTCCGTAATGACCTCCTTGCTCAACGGGGGAGCCATGTTTGATATCGGCTCTTTCGAGCGATGCTTCGCCCACTAGAGTCGGTGCGATCGAGAGAGAGTAAGTTGCTGGCCGGTTTAATACCTAGTCATAGTTAAAGTGGAATTTATATAAATCCAAATATACTGGCTTTGTCCAGAAGTTAACTCCAGAACCAGGTGCTGGTATTCGATCTGCTTTCCAGGAGATAAATGTTCGTTGCTTCAACTTTTCTCAAAAAAAGTTTTGGCGCACACCGAAGTGCACGGACCACCATTGAAGATCTCTCCGCCAGAGCTTCAACAGAAACTTCCAAAGTTCGGCCACCGACACGAGCTTAGGTGGAGTTCGCCTTGAACATGAAAAGGAAAGGAGGTATGCAATCGCAATCAGGTACGCCTTGCACCGTTTTCCGGCTCCAACGTGAAAAGTGGATAAATTAACAGCTTCATGTCTTAGCCCCCGTCAGCGCGATTGCAGCCCGGAGGTCACGACAAAAATTGGTCGCAGCTTCGCAAACTTCAACAACGGATGTTGAATCGTTTGTAAACGAAGAACCTCCATTGAAGAAAACAAAAACTAGCGCTTCGGAAAGGTCGTCTAGCGGTAATTCCAAAAATCGTCAATCCCTGCACGGAGGAGAGAGCGCTGAGGCTCCTGCTTCAACGAAGGTGACATCCAAGGCGAAGCGCTCAGATGAGCCCCACGCCGTGGGTACTAGCAATGAATATCAAAGCGACATTAGTGATGAATACGATGGTGTCGAGACGGAAGGCACTAATGGTGAAATAGAGTGGTATACGTTGTCCTGATTCACTCTCAACACAAACCACATTCTAACAGACTACAGTGGTCGACCTTTCGCCAATGATCCAGTAGACTTCCAGAGTTTCCTGTTGTCGAAAAGTCGCATCGGTAGGAAAGATGTAGTTTACCGTACGGACAACGCGATTTGCATTCGGTTGAAGTTAAAAACGGTACGCCACCATGCTTGTGTCTGATGGCATTCGCTAATGAGAGGAAGAACGTGGGACTCATCGGTCAATATGACCTATGGGTTAAACGAGGTGTTGTCAGCATAATGGGGGCAAAATTGCCTCCGAGCCCTCATCTCTACAGAATCTATGCGCCGTCGACGCATTCACTCCCTGTCATAAAATGCGTTTCGGGCATTGAGGGCTATGCGGAGGTTGAGATCAGGTCTTGCAACAATGGGCTTAGCCGCTTAAGAAACCTGTCAAACCTATATCATCGGATATGGAATACCAAGGAGCCAGCTCCGGGTTCCATTTTACAGCCCGGCCGATGTTTATCATTCTCAATCGTAAGCCTGCTTCGAAAGACTTCATTATCTGCTTGCTAACAAGCCTCCAGCTTCACTCGTCTTCTGACGATCCCTTAAAAAGGCATCTACGCCCACTACATCTTGATAAGAAATGGAGCGCGTCTATTCATAGCCTGTCTCAACGAGGAGGCTTTCTTCGAGTATTAACTTGTGGCCCGAAAGGATCTGGAAAATCCACCTTCAATAAATACCTTCTTAACCACCTCCTGAGCCCTCCTCCGTCGGAGGATAACTTGCAACACAACCAGCATGGGGTTGCTTTCCTGGATTTAGATCCTGGGCAACCTGAGCTGTCTCCGATGGGTCAAATATACCTTGCCCACTTGCGAACACCACTTCTAGGACCGCCGTTTTCTCATCCAACCCTTAATTCTCAATCAGATGGACATATTGTTAGATCCCATTATATTGGAGCTTCTTCACCAAAGGATGACCCTGACCACTACATCGCGACCGCAATGGATCTGATGAATCGTTATCAAGAGCTTCTCCAGAGCTATCCCCAATGCCCCCTTATCATAAACTACCCTGGTTGGATCTTTGGGCTTGGCCTCGAGATTGCCATATCTTTGGTCACATCATTGGGCCTCACTGATGTAGTATATATGAGTGACAAAGGACCAGCTGAGGTCGTGGAACCGCTAACCGCCGCGGCCTCGGAGGCTGGCATCCCCGTGGCCATTCTTCCATCTCAACCCACAGATTTTGTGTCTCGATCCAGTGCCCAGCTACGGTCTATGCAGATGCTTTCTTACTTCCATTTCATCCAGCATCAAGGCAAAAATGGGGTTTGGTCTGACATTCCGCTCTGTCAAACTCGCCCTGTAACTGTCAAGTACTCTGGAGCCTCACGGGGGATATTTGGAATAATGGTGACGGGGTCACACCATGACCCGGACATGCTACGTGACCTATTGGATGGAGCGGTCGTGGGGGTAGTTGCAATTGAAAACCTAAATGCAATCGCCAGTATCGACGGTAGGAACGATAAAACCATTGGGGTGCCCCATTTCGATTCCGACGGCGACTTGCAAATGGAGCCAGGTGTCACACTAAACGAAAACCAATCACCATCGCTACCCTCGTCACCATCACACCCATCACCAGATGACGACAAGCATCCTAACATCACTTACACCCCACGCGAGAACCTCCCTTACCTATTCGCAGGCAACGGCGCATGTTACCCCCTTGACCCCAACCTGTCACACTGCCTGGGCCAGGCAATTATCCGATCCATCAATGCCGAAACACAAACCGTAGACATCTACACCCCCATCCCACACTATAATATACGCGAGGCACTGGAGCAAGGCAACCGCCTCGTCCTCGTTCGAGGGCAGGTGGACAATCCCAACTGGGCAATCAGCGAAGAGTACTTTTCCGCGCGAGCTGCGGAGCGCCGGCATCGAAGGCTGATCGCACAAGCGAAGGCGAGCGGAGTCACATCTGATGCAGCAGCGCGTAGGGAGCAAACTATGGTGTCAGAGCGGCTGCGGGAGCGGGTACGGAGGGCAGGTAACGTGCCGTGGATGAGGCTGGATGAGGGTTCTGGGGATGCAAAGGAGCATGACATCAGGCAGATATGGAGACTACGCAAAAAGGCATATCCTGCAGACTCGGGAAGTGGCAGCGACAGGGAGTGGTAATATCTGTGTTGCACTACATCGTGTTTTGCAGTACGTTGTCTACAGATTAGTGCTAGGTATTTCGTGGGGGGGGGGGATGATTAATGTTTTCTCCTTCGACGTCTAACACTTGTCCCGATTGAGATTAATATGGCGAAATGCATCTTTAAAAGAATCTGCATTATAACCCCTCTCGAGCATGCTCAAGCATGAGACTCGACTAACAATTAAGGGGGCGGTCTATTGTGATTTTGACCTGCATAGGTGAAACTGTAGAGGGCCGTTGAACCAAATCTGCCATGTTGTTAAGGGGGTATCAACAAAGCATGATATATGTATATATATATCTCTCTCTTATTGGATGTGAATTTCAAATGTCATTGCTCTATGGAACATGCTTTGGGATATTTGGTTTTGCATGTTCTCCCACATCAGATTCTGCATCTACATATAAATATCTACATATTTTGAACTCGATTCTCAATGTCCCTGTTTAATTCCATGCTCAACACTCCTGAAAGTATCGTGATGCTGTCTGCAATTTTGAGGGACATACATTATCTTTGAGCTCAGTCTGGCTCAGGAGGAACGAGCTTTCCTGGGATTGTGGGAATATTGAACCTGAGAAATGAAAAGAGTTTGCGATTAATATTGCATAGCTGATGTCAATCAGTTAGTGCATTGAGAATAATAGGAAACACAAATCCAAATCCGTGGTAAAGCAAGTTAGGAAAAATACCAGCCTCATCAAGGCAGAGGATATATGTTTCACCAGTGAAATCTAGTAGTTTACTGAGCCTGTCTTTGGTTTAGATACTTCTTTATTGAATAGTACATACAAAGGAAGGAAAAGAAAATACCATCAGCAATGGGGGCAATTAGCATGCTGTTCGCGCATCCATCCCAAACCTCATTTGCCATCACATACCACAGAGAAAGGGACTGATACAATGTCTCCTGCCTTCAATAGCCTGGAAACAGACGGTCTAGGAATGAGATTTCCCGGATATAATGGGGAAAGCATCCAAAAGAAGAAAATAAAAGTGATAGTGAAAATGGAAGTGGCACAAAAGAAAATGAAGCATTCAAGAAAAGCTGTCAAAAATGACAGGTCATATTTTCCCATCAGCCTCTTGCCGTATCAGTGGAAAGTGGAAGACGTGTTGAAGATCTCAAAAAAGCCACAGCAAGTTAGCATATTCATTGATAAACTGGTATCCGGGAGAATGGATGTAATCAAGGTTCCGTTGTCACGGAGCGGGAGGTGAAATTGAAAACCCGACCAGTGTGTATAATTTTGCAATCAACACATATACTTTTTTAATTCTTTCTCTCCTTTCTTTTCTTTTCTTTTCTTTTCTTTCTTCTTTCTTTCTTTCTTTTTTTGAATATCTCGATTTATGGTACCAATGGCAAGTTCACACATCCAGGCATATATCGAACCTGTCATCGATCAGCAAAAGCTTGTAGATCGAATTAAGCTTGAATCAAGGAATAGAGAGACAGAGATGGGGCGTGCGCTGAGGGGCCGAGATTCAAGATGGCCCGTCCCGGCCCCGCCTCTGGATGAGTTGAATGCAGAAACAGAGCCGCCGCTGCGGTTGAAAATCCACCCGCCCACCACATATCAAATTCAATATTCGCTCTCTCCCTTTGTTTCTCGGGATCTGTCAATAATGACCAAAACCCGCTGCCGGGGCCATGCAGAGATCCGGGAAATCGGATAAAATGTTGTCTCAACCATAACCACCACCACCACCATCGTCAGGGCATTGCGAGTGAGGATGAAAGGAGATAGTCGGTGAGGACGGGCTATCGCATGGCCATTCGGCGGATAAGACATCCGTGTGCGGAAGAAAAGGTTGATCCACTTTTTATTTCTGCTTCAATCCCTTATCATTCTTGAGACTAGCATCCTCGAGATGGTCTAGGTCTAGACGGAGGCAACGGGTGGCGTTGCTACGAGACATACTGTACCTTATTGGCTGGTGGTGGGTTGTCGGTGCATTCGGTTTTTCTAGTTTAAGATCGCTAGAAGCAGAATATACTGTGTATATCAGAAGGGAAAATATTTCAGAAACAAGAAGAGCATGTTTGTATGCATGTACTGCACATGTACATGTACATGAAAGAAGCCATCATGATCAAATCGGCCACTTTCTCGCATGTTGTTCAAAAATCATGATTTGACATTCTGGAAACGGAGGTCTGGTGGTTGTTGTTCCGCATTCAGCTGGGGAGTTACACATTCCACACCGCATATGTGTCATAGTTCCTGCCTCAATACCGGCAGACATGCTATATTTGCTCCTTCGTACCTCGTACGTACTGCCATGGTATTGTTCCGCATGCTGTGCTGCAAACGGGTGCGCAGAATGAACATTGGTTGGTGGCTTTCCATCTCAGCCACTCGATTTCACATGTTGGAAGACCTCTTTCCCCCTAACCCAGCTCAAAGTTCAAGACAGAGATGATATCTTGTGCGACATATAATAATGGAACAGACGGGGATTGTCAAAAATAGTGGAATTGGGTGATTCCAGCTTCAAGAGGGAGCGGTGCGGCAAACCAAACTAATACAGCGAATGCCCATCCGTGACCTCGCTGGGCAGGTCGACTACCGATGATATGCCGCTGCTAGCCATGAGCAGGGGTGCAAGCCAGGAGCCGGGAAGGGGAAAATGCCAGAAGGCCCGAAGGCCAGTGGATCGCTGCCCAACCGACGATGACATACAGGAAGGATATCGACCCTGGACACTTCCTGTTAGCAACTTCGCTCTTTTTATTCATTTTATTTCTCATCGCCAGGAGAAAGCGGGTGTGCCATCAATCCCTTTCGCCCGCGCTGAGCTGCTGTTTCTGTGGAAGCCCCATTCCGGGAGTTGATTCTCACTAGTAAGTTCCATGGTTTTCGCGTTTACAAGCGGTCATATTCAATGCCCAATGACGCTTATTTTTCAGGGAGCAGTAGGTTGCCCGTTATCTGCGTCTAGAACTGAACTCTGAACTCATCGGACTCGAGAGATTCAAGTTTCCAACAGTCTAAGTCACCAATACAGATACAGCTCAAGCTGGTACTCTCCCATCTGGCGAGGTCACCGCTGCCTGGAAGATCCACCCCCGATATCCTTCGCTTCCCACTTTCCAAGTTCCGGGGCTAGTGTGAAACCAGCTAACAACGGCCCTGCTGCTTGGAGTCGATCCTTTCGACACGTGGAAACTGCCGTTTTGGGTCTAACATCGTTTTGCTCGTTGCACATCATGATGACAATTACGGATCGTTGAGTGAGTGACCATCATCTACCCCCTGTATGACAGACATACGGCGTAGACAAGCCATGCCCAAGCAAGCGGGCCATTCATCTCATACTCTTATCAATATGATCGTGGTTATTCGACATCAGGTCGCCGCCACCAGTCCCGGAGAAGACCCTTCTGGCCCCTTCTGGTATCCAGAGGATGTTGCGTGATTGCTATTGGATCAAACGACTGCTCTCCCTGTGCGATTCTCGTGCTACTCGGCTTTGTGAGAGAGCAGGATATATATAGCCAATAATAGGAGTAGGTAACTAGGAGGCAGGGTCATCATTTTTCTCCATCGGAGCGCAACAGGCGAATATCCCTTGTGGTGGTGGGGGTTTCTCGACACAATCAATAATTTCGAACAATAAGCAAAGGGAGGGGGGGAAAAAATTTAAAAAAATAAATAAAAAATACACTGAGAATCAGCGGGTGTCAAAAAAATGGTACACAAACGAACGCATCCCGTAAACGACAAGCGCTCCAGAATTACAACTCTGCAAAGCAACGGTCGCACGGGAGTAATAAGAATAATACAACTCCAGAGTAATTACGACTAACGTTAGAAACAGAGAAGCTCGATAAGTGGGATCTCCAACGAGGGAGACGACGATTACTGGTACAGACAGATGTGCCAATTTATTATTTATCGTAGCTGTGCGACAAGACACGACGTTTCCCGTGGAGCTCGCGATGTTATCAAGGGCAAAGTTGAAACCTTAGCCAGGTACCACCGGTTTTTATTGATCTCAAAAGAAGTTAATTTTCGTTCCCGACAGCGCCTGTTTCAATGGTTGTCTGTGAGTTATCTGTTTCTCCCGTGTTTCATCTTTTTATATGGGTTTATTTTTATCCTCAAACCATCCATAGCTGAAAATGAAACAGAAAGAAAGAAAGAAACAGGAGAACAAGAAGCCCGCTGACTCTCCCCTCCCCCATCTGCATTTGACTCTCATCGGAGATTATTATCATATGGGAGCATCCCCAGCTGGAATCCCTCTTGTAAGATTAATAAACAATCATCATAAAATGAGTGTGGTAGTTCGCTAGTTAGTTACTGCAACAGTGCCATAGATCACTTGTTGTCCCATTAATAAACGGTCATAGTCGCCAAGCCTCTGCTAGTGACTGACTCAGCATCCGGGCGGCAGCGGACATCTTGGATCCACTCCTTCTGGAAGCCTTGCCTGTTGGGGAGCGGATGGCTGCGATGGACTGGAATCCCATGCCCCGGTACTCCGTCCTCTGATCCACGGGTGGGCGGGTGGGCGGGTGGTGGCCTGGGCCTGGCCTGGCCAAGATGCGGCGGCTTCCGGACCTGGGTAGGATCGCAGGAATGGAGGAGTTGTGTTGGATGTGGGTTTGGCAGATGCGTGATGTTTTTCCCGTTATCGTCGTTATCATCGTTATGGGTCAGTTCATTGCCGCTACATGAAGGAAATAAGGTTACCCAGGCACGGAGTATCTCTTGTGAGCAGTGGAGCGGGAACGACGGCACAGATGGGAATTTGCTCTTATCATCATCATCATCATCATCAACGTTCCCTGTTATGTGGGGGGCAAAAAAAAAAAAAAAAAAAAAAAAAAAAAAAAAAAAGATCCCTCTCATCAACTACCTGGTTCCGGCAAACATGCTACCTTATCTCCCTTTTCAGCGTCTAGCCTTTGTCCGTATGTATGTATGGACTCTGTACTGTACATGTCCTACATATACGCACACACATACAACCGCGTTATTGTCCAACGTTGCGAGACGCAAGGACCATCGATGGAAATAATCCCCCAAGCGGCGTGGAATGCATATCCGGGTGCTGGATATGCACCGTGCAACTTGGGCCTTATGAACCGTTGGCATCTATAAAGTGGAATTTCCTTGTCTGAACCATCGTCCAGGCTGGCTACATGCGAGATGGAATATGTGTGTATGTATATGTATATGTATATGTATATGTATGTTGTATGTTGTATGTTGTATGTTGTATGTATCCCTATGTCCTCCTCCTCGATGTAGCCATGTATGTCTGCATGCGGTGTAAGCTATGCTCCGCACGCAAAAGACAGTACAAAGCAGAGAAAGGGATGAAGCATCCATCCGTTATCTCCATACTAGAAAGCACAAAGGGCTGCTCTGCTTCCACGCCCGGAAGCGAGCAACATCGCCGTGTATGATCATTAGTAGTGTCGTCGTTTTCGTCAAGGGATGGGAGGATGTGATTATCAACCCGTACAAATCCGTTAACTTGACATGTAGTTCTATCTTGATAGCCGCTCAAAGAAGCAAAGAAAAAAAAGAAAAGAGAGAGAAAAAAAAAGAAATACGCAGATTCCCCCATAACTAGCTGCTCGGGAACTCACTTACTGTCACAGATCACTTTTCTTCCTTCTGCCCTTTTCCGCTTCTAACCTGCCCATCTATCACCCCCGTATCACAGTGCTTATCCCTTATAATTATCATCACCATTGTGAATGGATCGCAAATCCCACCCTGCCAATGACCAGGGTCGGAATAATAATATTACCAAGAAAACGAATCAAAAATTACTCTTAGTTATTGCCGAAGTAGTTATTGTATCATTATGATCCATATCGTATCTTGAAACCTGCTCGTCCCCCCTGCGATGGAAGCTAGTTAGATATGCCTGGCTAGTGTGTCTGCAGCCATGTGAATCATCGGGATTAATTCCTCTGAGGATGCTTCCGGCCTGCTGGGCTGAGTAAGTTACATGCTGGTTTCAAGGCCCTTCTTGCATGGAGATGGTTGGGAATGCTGCGTGCAGAGAACGGTGCAAGCCACTGCAGCAGCCGCTGCCACTCTGCCAGAGAGCCCAGATGGATAGACAGACGGGCAGGAAAAGCACCCACCAGCCTGGCCAGACCAGCGGCACCGATGGGTCAAATGTATCCAAGAAGAACAGTCAATGTTGGGTTTGCCTGTATTGCTGGGTGTTGTGTATTTGGTGATTTGACTCGTTTATTTGGCTTCGTCGATGCTGAAATCACCCCACGAATGCTTTGACAAACAGAAAAGAAAGCAAACAAGAAGTGACAGATCGCAGGCCAACAGCAGCATCAGCTTGCCTCCTCTCCCTCTCCCGAGCCTGTTTGTTTAGACTTTGGCCGTACCCTGTCTCGCCGTTGTCTCGCCCACCTCGGCTCCACTCATCGCCTCTCCCCCAGCGGCAGCCCAAAACTCCTCCGGACGCCATCGTTCTGCTCCCAGTATTTAGGACTCAACTCTCCCCGTCCGCATGCGTCCCGCCAGCCAGTCCTCCTCCTTCGCCAACTGCAGCTTGCTTCGCTCACTGTGGGTTCACTATATATCATCATCGTCATCGCCTCGTCGCCCGCGCTGCCATTCCCATCCATTCCCTCCCTCTCCAATTCTTGCCTCCGCGTTCTGGGGATCGTCGCCTTCACCGCGAGACAAGGCGATTCACCCACTGACTTCGATTAACTTGCTGTTGCTTCTCTTCCCCTGGCCCCCCATCCACTGAATCTCCTCTCTGCTCTATGCTCTGAGACTATGTCTCAATGCGAAGGATGGCGTTGTGATTTCCCCTCCGCTTTCTAGCCCTAATCGAACTCCTTTTTGCCGATATGGATTTCATTGTAAGTTTCCTCCGTTCTTTCGTCATGTCTCCTATCCAGCGATTTCTTTCTTTTCCCCCACTCCTTCTTTGGTAGTTTATGCCATTGTTCTTCATTATCTCTCCCTCTTCTTTGCATGCTGGGGAGCTGGGGAGCTGGGGAGTGATGGTCGCAATCGGGCTGCTGTTTCGCTGCCCAGCCAGAGCTAGCTTGCTATCCATCTTCCCCTGATGTCGTGGGCGGCCATGCGACCATGCGGCCCATGACACGTTCCCACCAGCTGCTTCCTTGAGTTATTCTCCTCAGCAGCGAAGGCGCCGCAGCGGATACACTGCGTCGCGCGCACACGCAGCATCATGCCCTGTTACCCGAGATCATTGATTTTTGCGATGACTGGGACCTACGTCTTGTCTGATTACTGACCGGGCTACTGACTCTACTTGGTTTTTGACTCTTAGCTATCCTTAACGCACTTCTGCGAAGTGCATGGCCCGACATCCATTCTCTGTTCTCAAGTGATACCCTCCTCCTGCGCGCAATGTTACCCAGACACCTACGATATGTCCCCAAGTGATACCCCCTTATCCTCTCATGCCGCCTCCCCCGCCCTACATTCTCGCGGCCCTGATCGAACTGGAAAATCCGATGGGCAATCTATAACGCCACCGGATATCGGCGTCAGCACCTCGTTGAACGGCTGCTCGTCATCTAGCCTTGATCCGCTGCCGTCTCCTCTAGGCTCAGCCCCAACTTCCAGCCAGCGAATAGAAGACCATCCCTGGTTTTCGCATCGGTTATCAGGTCGCACGGAGACGGACAGGTTGAGTCGCATCGCTCGCGCTGATAATGAAACCTGCGCAAGCTGCAGCCTAACGGTCCCCAAGGGTGTAAGCGAACAACTTCCACCCGGTGGACCGGGGACTTTGAAGGCGGATGGCAAGGGCCGAAATGGAAGCCCGGTGCTACGCTCCAGAGAAATCGTGTATTCCTGTAGCGGATCTCGGTCGGATTATGATGCGGAGCCCCACCCGCACCACTCGCCCGGTACCTCACTTCACTCGTCCGCGTCGTCGGAAACTTCCTCATGTCACACCCATATCGTGAACTATCTCTCATTACACGGGCCGCCAATCCCCGACGATTATGCACTTCTACGTAGCGCCTCAATTAGAACGCTGAGCTGTGAGCTCTTGCCTCGCGGGCTCTCATCAGGGCCCTTGTCGTTCGGGGACCCCGTTACCGGTTACACTATCGCCTATGTTTTTCGCCTCCCGGACCCTATGGCTCGCGGCAAACGCCGGAGCTATGCGCTTCTTGCCCTGGCAGGAAAGGACGCCGGCAGAGCCTTCCGTGCGTCCCCGCTGATCTGGCGCGTGTTCGGTCGCATCGCTGCGAGCATCGTTAGTGCTGCTGAACGGCATCAGGAGTCGGAAAAGTGCAAGGAAGAAGGCGGGATTCCCACTTCTGCCGCTGCTGCTGCCACTACCAGCATGGCCAACGGACGGAACTACACGCCCATTTCTTCCTTCCTGACCGGCCGAGCCCTGGGCCCAGACGGCCAACCGCGCCGTGCCGGCCAGATCCGCGCACGCAACCTTGCAGAGATCGTGGGGAACGAATACATCTTTGCTGAGCTGCACGCGCAATTCGTCGCCTTGCTCCAGCAGCTGTGTGCTATGTTTGGCGGAGCCCGCATCCCGGACGATCGCTCGGTTTCGAGTTCGTTTGAGGAGGAGAGCACGTTTTCGCCACGTCGACAGTCTCTGTCGGGCGATTGCGGGAGGGGGACAATCGACACCGGCATGACCACTGCCAGAACAAGCGGTAGTCCCGCTGATCCCGGGAACCCTAGACACGATTATGATTCATCCTCCGTCATGCTCTCGCCCGCCCCGAAACCAATACCCATATCTCATCGCGGACGACAGGTAGCAGCCTAGGCAAGTTTTGAGCCCGTGCCTGCTCCCTGCTCCCTGATCGATTTCGATTTCGATAACCATGGAGGAAAATATCTCTATTCCCTTCTATCTATCCACTTTCAACCTTGTTCTTTTTTTGGCGCTGTCATATTTTCCATTAACTTCACAACATATACCCAAACTTATCTTTTTTCCATTTAACTTATGTTTTTAATGCTGCTTTATCATTTCTTCCGACCCCCAAGATTCCGGTTCTCTACCATCAATCCATATTTGACGCTGTTACGACTTGATTTACATAACAACAACTCGTCATCGAACTTGAAAATAACCGAATAGAATACTGAGCACACCCCGACCCAACGAAGAAGCACACGTTGTTTATTTACCTCACCCATCCGGCCCAATTTATATATATTTTAATTACCATACTCCATCTTTTTTTCTCTGCACATATTTTCCAGTCTCTTTCCCCTTAACCCCTTTTCCCCTTCCGGCCCCGGATCGCGCGCTTGGACATGTCGATCTATGTGTTTCCACCATTGTTTGTATTGGGGGAATTTTCCTCACTAATTCCCTCTATCTCCTCTTCCCTCCCTCCCTCTCTGAAACGAAACACAAACTTCCTCATGCCTGCAAAACTGAGCCTCCTCATGTCTCGAAGGGGGAGGAATAAGCAAGAAACTCTGTGGGAGGTGAAATATCGTGTGTAGCTTCAGCTTCGATGACGATGACGGTGATGACAACGGGGGAGAGGATGGAGATGATGAAGCCTCCCAACAGTCTATAAGAACCTACTTCCCGTTCCCTCTTCTCATGCCCTTTCTAAAGGCCGATGGGCTTTTTCCCTTAACTTTTTGATTCCCCCTTTTCCTTGCTCGCTCCGTTGCTTGCGAAATATATGGATGCACCGGAGTAGGGGTTTTACTTGGGAGGGAAGGGAGGGAAGGGAGAGACGGCCAGTGGAGGTGATGGCTCTTCATCCTTCCGCTTGATCTACTACGTTTTTCTCCAACTTTTTTGCCGCTTCTCGTGGGATGATTTATATTTAATTTTGTTTCCCCTTTTTGTCGTCAACAGCAGCGGGAGCAGGAGAAGAAGTAGAAGGTGGTGATGGTTCGAAAACCGTCGTTTCTCTCCTCGAAGATTCCAGCGCTTCCAATCCACCGCCTTCCGTGGTGACTAACTTTAACATCTGACACAGACGAAACACGAGGTTGTGACGTGTTTTTTTTATCGGGGTCTTTTTTTTTCCCTTGTTTTTCCTTCGGAGCTTTTTATGTTTCTCATCATCATCATCATCATTACCATCAAAGAAGGGGATGGATATGACGGGACGGAAACCGGCGAAATTTGGTTTTGGGAGGGTATTTCTGCTTCTCGTTACGTTATCATGTTTCATCAATAGAATATTTTGGGTGTTTTTTTTTTTTTTTTTTTTTTTTCATCCCTATCTTGTATTTTTCTTTTTTGAGCCCTGTTTTTGTTTTTAGCGCTGCTTATATCTATCTATCTATCTATCTATATGGTATATCCGGAACCTCTCTCTCCCCCTCTCTCCCTCCCTAATATTAATATTTCAACTCTTTTCAACACACCGGTTGAAGCTTGCAACCATCCCGTTCTCATCGGTTTGTGTTGCACATGTCATTAAGTGCCGTGGCCCCATGGCTTAATGCAAAATGAATCTTATATCTAACCAACTGAACCCATCGCGCGACACCATTATTTATTTATATCAAACAAATTGGCAGTTTAGGTGGCGCTGTGACTAACTTCTAGTAGTAGTTGGTTATCTATCTACGTTGGTGAGTGGTAAGAGTCAAGTCAGTGGTTAGGTTTCCTTTGCTTATCCATTGGCATTTCTGTTTTTCTTCTTGTATTTTGTATTTTTGTATTTTGTATTTATTTATATATATATATATATTTGTTTTCGATAAATTCTTTTTTGTTTTGTTGTGGGCTCGCTCGTTTAGCCGTTACTGGCGAAAAGACATATTCCGGCGAAGCCAGGAGCCAGGACGGGAAGGGACGGTATTCTTAAGTAGGTTTGCTTCATAATATTATGCTTACTCGCTATTTATTTCCCATTTATTTTTTCCGTTTTCAGCGGCTTTTTTTTGGAAAGTTTTGAAGAGTGGTTTGCTCTGTGGGGCTCCACCGAGCTGAATTCAATTCTTCGTTAGCTCTTTGCTACAAGACGTTTGGAACGGAGACAGAGAGAGGGGGTTTCTAGTTCCCAACCCACAGTTGCTGGTGCACTGTGGACGGCTTGCCTCGGGAAGGTGATGATGCCGACGGAGTTAGACGCTCTCAGGCGGGAGATATTCGGTGGCCTTTCCAATTCTCCTGCCATCACTGGGGCGGGTACATTTCGGGTACCTAGTTCAGATGAAATTTGGTTCGACAAGGAGCTGCAGGATATAAAATGTCTGTCAGGCAGACATGAAACACAGACAACTAACTAGGCGTTAAGCAAGTACGTTCGAGTTGAGCAAATATGTATTCTCGCTTAGAGGAAGGAATTGAATGAAAATAAAAGATAGCCGCAGCGTTGCCCAGCGATTCTGCTGACAAATGACAACGAGATGGCATTGGCCTGTGTGACCCATAGTTGGAGAATGGCCAAAGATGGGTATGGTGATAGAATACTGCTTTGGTTGTAGATATAATGTTGTGTTTCATCATCAGAGATTTGCAGAGCTTTCGCGGGGCAGGTAATAATGACGTCACAACCCTAATCTTATCGATCTGGATTGAGGATCACATGATATCAGTGTTGAAATTCGAGATTAATTTTCTTCTGGCAAGCATCAGGAAACACGGAGTTGGGCATCTGCCACTAACATCCAATCCCGTACTGTATTGCATACCGAACTGCTACGCATATGGTGGCATGCGCACCCCTTGTCAACGGTGCTCTATTCCCTACATACTCTATGAAAAATGGATCCGTACGATAGCGACTCCTCCGGTATCGAAGACTTCACCGAGACCAACGTCCTCCTTGGTTACGCCGATGACAATGCTTCTGACGATTCGATCAGTCATCTTGGCGGATGGCCAGTATTTAAGCTCCAATCTTTTCTTTCGCTCTGCTTTTGATTTTATACAACGATCTTGGAAAGCTGATTGAGGATTTCAATAGACCTGGATTGACCCCGCCAGCCCACCACCCGGTGACTTAGCCAAATGCAAAGTCTGCAACAACCCAATGTTGCTTCTCCTCCAGCTACATGGTGACCTGCCGGAACACTTTCCTCACGACGAGCGGTGGTTGTATATCTTTGGGTGCCCCAGGAAATCCTGCTCCAGGAAGCCCGGAAGTATAAGAGGGCTGCGCGGTGTAAAGAAGCACAAAATTGCGAACTCGACTTCACGACAACAGCAAACTCAAACTGAGAAACTGGGAGATGCGCTGGAGCCCACCCCGGCAGAGAGCAAGTCCAAGCAAGATCTTGGCTCAAGTCTCTTTGGTGCGGCTCCCTCTAACCATAGACAATCAGCCAACCCAAACCCTTTTTCAACCGCATCCTCTAACAGCTTATCAAACCCTTTCGCTCCCCTTGCTCCTACATCCACCCTAGCTGCAAAACCTCCCCAAAAGCCATCCTCATCCCCGCCAACCGAATCCCTCCCCGAAACGTTCGCCGAAAAGGTCCGCCTCTCCTCCCCGCCCCTGCCACACCCCACGAAAGTAGCAGCAGGACCTCCGCTTCCTTGGCCACCGCAATCCGCATTCCCAAAGCCTTATCCCCATCACCACCTTGATGCAGAATACGAAACTCTCTCCCACCCGCCCTCCCCCACCTTACACAACCCAGAACAACCAGTCATCATGGAAGAGGACCCTTCTACAACCTCCGGCGCAGATCCCAAGGAAACTTTTGAATCCAGCATCGACAAATCCTTCCTGCGCTTCTCTACCCGACTAGGCCATAACCCGGAGCAAGTCCTCCGCTACGAATTCCGCGGAGCGCCCTTACTGTACTCCACAACCGATGCGGTGGGCAGACTATTCTCCCAATCCTCCTCCTCGCCCGCCAAATCATCGCATGTCATACTATCCAGCAACAGCGCGGCGAGCCAGAGTCCGAATAGGATTCCCATCTGCGAGTATTGTGGGCGCGAACGCGTATTTGAAGTTCAGCTCACGCCGCATGCGATCACGGTGCTTGAGGAGGGGCGGGAAAATATTGGCCTTGGGCCTACCGACGATACGGGGATGGAGTGGGGCACTGTGATCTTAGCGGTTTGCTCGGCGAATTGTGGATTAGAGCATGAGGGGGTATTGGGGTGGAGGGAGGAGTGGGTTGGTGTTCAATGGGAGGAAAGAATCGCAGGGAAGTAGTTTGGGAGATGCTGTATTTTGAGCTAGTTGGATTGGCCAGAGCTAGGGAGGAAAAGGGGGGAATGGTTAAAAATATAAATTGCTTAGTCGTGCGAAGTTATTTTAACGACCTAGGAAATATAGGAGATGGAAATAGACCGAAGGATTCGCTGGTACAAACTTATATAAGTATCTACTCAGCAAAATGCTCACGTTACTCTGCAAAAGGAGAACGCAGCTAGGGAGCAAAGTATTATGAAAGAAGTGCTTTAGATGACTTCACAGATATATATTTCCCAGGAAGTACGTTTCCCCGCCATAATTTTATTTCTTCATTTCATTCCGCGTGATACGGAGCTGATTCTGCTCCCACAGAAGGGGGGGGAAAAAAAAGGAAGTGAAAAAGTTATATGATTGAGACGAAATGCTAACACAGAAAGTAAACAAGAAAATAAAATTCGGAAATCAAGCAGGTTGTTCCAAACCCCTCCGAAGTACCCGACCGAACATTTCTATTCCCACTTTCTCACCTTTGATCTCCCCTCTGGCCTCATTTTCTTTATTTTTGGGAACTCTGATAACAGCACTCGTAAGATCAGAGCCTGCGCTTTTATCAACTTCCCATCCGCAAACATCAACGACGAATTTCTCCAGAGCTTCTAGTCCGTTCAGGTCCAGCCATTGAGCTAGTACATCAGCGCCGATTTCCCGAAATGCCTTGCCGACCTCAACCGCAATGCGGACCCGTACCAACTCTTCAAATCCTGCAACGTCGGCAACCAAATCTGCGTATAGGTCGTCGGAATTGAGCGTTGACCAGAAGAGGGTGTATTGTGCCGATTCGAGGAGAGTGTTGAGGCGGGCGAGCTTTTGGATTGATTCGATGAAGTCAGACGTTTGCATGGGGAGCGAAGACGATGTAGACGCAGAAAATGGTTGAGTGTATGCGGGGAGGAGGGCGAGAGCGAGGGAGAAGGCAGGCGAAGGGAAGACGGTTAAAGCTTTAGCAAGAATGTTGGTTGTTGTTTCGGTGTGGAGGAGATGAGGATTGAACTGGTAACTGAAGATTTTATTGCCCACGATAGACAATTGTTGTTAGCGAAGGTTTTTCAGGTAGTTGGTATACAAAAGCATGAAAGGAGGTGGTAATTTTCAGGAAAATAATTGATCCCCATCCCCATTCACCCGATATTTATCGAGAAACAGAGTCAGGCTAATAGGAAACGTTAATGTAATAAAATTACAGATCATCATAATAAGGCCACAAATGAAAAACCCGACAAAAGTGCAAGCGACGACTCATGCTTTTTATTCTCAAAAGCAAGTATATGATCGCTAGTCGTAGCAATAAAAGCGGTCTCTCCATATAAATCCGAATGTAAGCACTCACAGTTTCAGTAATGCCAGATTGGCATAGCAGTCAAACGTTCTGTCTTCGCATTGCTGAACAACATACTCTTGGAAGATTGTTGTGGTTTCTGGATTGTATCTGTCCAAACCGTTGAGGATGACATCGATATGCTGCGGTCTCGTTTTACACTTATCGAACGCAGCCATTGTGTTCCTTTTAACTCCCTTTCGCTCAAAATTCTCTGTGGGCCACCTCTTATAAGTCAGATATCGCAGATTCGTCCCGGATTTTCGTGCAGATTTGTGCGAGTATTTTCACCAGAAGCGTCCACGTCAAATAGATAGGCTCCTGGAGCTCGTATTTACCGCAAAGTTAGCGGATAGGAGCGAATTACTTCAGGTGAGGAATAGCCGATAAAGAACCCCTTTTAACCGTGTGTTGGAGAAGTCGAGAAATGTCCCATCTGATGTTGATTTTCGATAAGTTTGTGGTGCGAAAGCCGCCCGGAGGTGGTGCTACCTAATGCGGAATGTTTTGCCGGCCATGATGACTCAGCTAACACCCGACATATCATCCTTGAACTATGAACATATTACAGATCTGTACAGAGAGGCAAAATCCGTTGAATGAGGTCGCCTTTAACCCGGACTATCGTACTGATGAGTTGGTACTTGGGAGTGGGTATGCGGGGCAGATTCTATCGAAGCTGTAACGGGGTTGCTAGGTTAGGTTTTTGAAACTACGCCTCCCCGTCCCCATCTTTAAGGGGCCATTTCAAAAGAAAAAAGGAGGGGGGAGGGGGAGGGGGGCGCAGAGTTTGATTTCAATTTTGTTTTTTCATTATAGGGTTAGATCGTTCAACACGGTGTTTTATGTATATATATCTATGGATAGACATTCGCATTTCCCCATTTGGATTATGTCTACAGTACAGTTCTGATGTGCTCGACTGTTATGTTTCAGACTTCGATTTTGCTTTTTGATAATTCTATCTCTTGAATTCTAAAGTACATACTTGTTTTAGCAAGATGTATGGTTGTATGTGCTGCGTTGCCCGGGTTATCCAGTAGGGATTAGCTATTATGCAAGGGTAAGGGGACATCCATCGCCTCGCTATGTATACAACGCTACCAAAAGTAGCGATTAGCGTTAATATCCATACTAGTTGACTTTCCTTCGTTGAATATTTCTGAGATGTAGAACGTACCATGCGAATATTGATAGAGAATCAATAGCACGCACACAAATCCAGGGGGAGGTAACAAGAAAGTGGAGTGCTGCCGGGCATGCTAAATAGTATGATTCGAATTTTCACGAGAATAGTTCGGGCTGTGGATTCGTACGTAGTTCGTCCGACATCGCCCATTTATATAAAGAGAAGCAGCGGATAGCATCTAGTCAACCGAGTTTGCGAAGCTCTTAAGACTGAAAAATGTCGACCAAAGAAGTGGGTATCTCGAAGTACTACTTGCCAGCAATGTTAGGACCCAAGAAACCTAGAACGAACCAACAAACATATGGAACAGTGCATGCTCACAGCCACCAGTTCAACTCTGTTACATTTTAGTTAAAGGTGAAAGCTTGTCATCCTTCGCCTCACTGCGGCTGTGGCCTCCTTTGTTCTCAGTTTCCAGGGTATCTTAGCAGAGAAACTCGCAAAAGCAGATCGCACTGAACTCTTGCCTGAGTCGGAATTGCCCCTGGGTACTACTGCATGTTGTGGTTGTGACATCTCTCCCAGCACGATGTCTGCAACGCAAGGCGTGGCAGTAACAGAAGCGGCGTGCTGTTGCGGGTGCGCTTGTTGCTGTGTAAATATATCCTTAGAAAGAATGGTCCCTCTGGTTGTCTTCCTACTAATATACGACAGCGTATCCGTCCTTCGTGAGGAAGCAGACGGAATCTCGTACAGCTGACGGCTCAGGCTGCCCTGGTGGCATTTTTCTCCTCCTCGGCGGACCACGGCCGTGCTCAGGTCCTGGCGCTGGGTAATGGCAGCAACCTCATCCATTAGCGCGCGTTGGTAGTCGTTCAGTTTTTCTTCCAGCATTGCTATCTTCTTGCGGCTGATGTTGTATTTCTCGACTGCTAGGCGGGCCTCTGCTTCTGCGGCCTCTGCTTGCCGTATTGCTCCGGTGAGCCTGGTGTTGAGGGCGTCAAGTTTTTGTTTGATGAGGGTTATGTGATCGTATGTCATGATTAGACCAAGGACAGATATAAATGCAATAGCTGTTGTTATATCGCCGAAGGTCAAAGGGCCCATGGTGAATGGGGAGCGGTTTTGGTGTGTTGGAGAGTGTAAACGTAAAGCCTTTTGGATCTCAGGGGAGCAGAGTACAATTGAGACGGCCACAGATCGAGAAATATCATAGACACATAATGCAAAGAAGACCGAGGCAGGATGCATACAGTATACCATAGGTAGAGAGTAGAGAGAGTAAAATCAACAGCAAGAGGGGGAACTATGAGGGTACCTGGGTATGTACCCCCAGGTATACAAGTGCAATATGTTCTTTTGGCAATTGCATTCCAGCTGGCAGCAATCAGGAACACAATCTAGGCCACAATTTCCTCGACGGATAGATAAAGGACTGCCGACATTTCTATGTGATTTCGTCCGACCTTGATTTGTGTTGAGCCTGAGCAGGTTTGCTTGCACGCATAGGCCACGGGAATATAGGAGATCTCGGCTTCATCATTCCTATTGACAAACAGGCATAATAGTAGGTAGCAGTCATCTGGAATTTGCGCACGAGAGCTATCTTGGTATATTCTCCTTTTATACAATGCATCCGCTGCGAATATCCTGTATATTTGTAATTTATTGAGGTTGATTTAACCTTGTAGCCTCCAGGGCTACTTTTGGCTTCTTTAGCGGCCCAACACCTACAAGCCAATCAAAGCCATTTTTAGAACATCTTCAAAGGGACTCGGATACATATGTATACCCCTACTCCACGTGCCTTGTATACTATGATGCATGTTCGTGAGGTATTATTTTTTGATATCGGCACAGATGTATTTGTTATAAATTGACTTATTGGCCGCGCTTGCATGCGATGAGGCTCTTTGCATGGGCCAACGCGCGGACCGGAAGCCACAACACCGACAACTTGATCTTCAAACCTCAGCCGGCCGTTCTCCGCGAACAAACATTTACCGCTGCAGAGGATTGATGATTTGAGTTTCTTGAATAGGGGCCGCGCTGATTCCGTCGACACTCTCTTCTTCCCTGCCTATCCTAACGTAACTTTACCCATATATGTGCGGTATTTTTGTTAGCATTTGTCTGACAGTGTAACACCCCCCCTCCCCCCTCCATTCGTTATTTGTACGGTCAATGAAGAGTCACGGCTATGCATCTCTCGACTACGAAAGGCTTCTTTTGGGGGGGCAAAGACTTCGTGCTCTGTTTGCTCCTGCTTGCAACTTTCTCGAGCTGTC